TTTGGCAGGAAATCAAAATATATAAAGTCCCCCACCAATATAAAAGTATAAATAGGACTTACTGGTGATTTTTCTTAACAAATATCACTGAACAGACAAATTGGCGGATTAGGATAGCGCATCCGGAAAACAAAAAATTGGAAATAACATAGTCCTGAAGTGTAACATGTTATCATTTTTTATTCTTTCATTTCATGCTCTATTCGTATCTATTTATCATTAATTATGTTTTCGCCTTTCGGCTGTCTCTAACAGAGTGAGATTTGATCACTGCTAGTTGCTAGTTGCTTTCTGCTCCTTGTTTCCTATCAATAAGTAGGTGCATCAGATTATAGTGCTCGATGATTCTATTAGTATGATACTGGTACCGTTTGGGAACAAAGAATTTGAGTCAACCGGAAGAAATCAATAGCCTCAGGTGTAAGGTCAGCTAGTTTGAAAGTATGACCTTGGTCCATCTCTGCACTCGTTTTTTAACAAATAATCAATTTCCCATCGACCGGCTCACAAATTTTTTTCAGAAAAGCCGGAAGGTTATTTTCAATAAGATGGAATGATACATACACACAGGCTAAAATATCCTCATTTGAACATCGGGGAACATGCCAAATTGATAAATCACTAAATGTTCAAAAGAGAAATTTTGGACTGACCATTGAAAAAGAAGTTGAACTCAGTGAGTCCACACCATCCACAGACGCACACATCGTAACATTCCTATACAAGAATGTCAACCAAGTTACGTGAAGACATCAGAAAAAAATATCAATTGGACTCATAAAGCTCATAGATAAGCAAATCATATTTCATCTTTCATCACTCTATAAACTAATTACACCTGCTAAAACTTAATGAATCAACCCTACTGAGCTAAAACAATAGAATTTACATGAAATTTTCAAAACCCTGAAACGAAACAAGACGATCAATTAATTAGCGTCCGTAGTATAAAATATTTCACTTACTTTTTCTGGACTGGATAAAATCTTGGGGCCACTGGATAGTAGAAAATGGATTTGAAGGTGGGATAGTGATCATTTGGAAAAGACATAGAAGACTCTGAAGCTTTTGATCGAAGGGCGGTGAATGGCGAGGTGAAGAGGG